ACCCCACCCTTGACCGTTAGTTTTCTGCCTCATTAGCATACTACTTCCAAATAAATTAACAACATTTACTCATTTTAAYCACCCCTCCCCTCCCCAACTATATTTTTGCCACATCAGCATATCACTTAMCAAATTGATTTATATTAACGCCTAAACGGAGTTTGAGCGGTTCTTTCTCTACTACTAAGATGGAAACCAACTGGTCTCCATCTTTTAACTGAAAGTAAGTTATCTAAAGTATAGTAAAGYGTATATTTATAAAATAACAAGCGCTCAAATGCCGAGAAAAAAATGACGCGAGCGTGTATTATGCTCTCATCAAACACKGCTTTTTGGCCAATCAGAGCGCGCGTAATATGAAAGTTATTTTATAAAGYACTTTTTACCACATTTGTGTAAATTCACGCACGCTTATTGGCTGATAAGAGTTTGTCAATTGCACACTCTTGACGTCATAAAATGCTCAAAACTCTGCATTGAACCCACTCGCTGCTATTGTGAATCCACTTGAGTTTTGAACATTTGATGACGTCAAGAGTGTGTCAATAAGAGGGCATACAACTCAAAACCATGCGCAATTTGATAAAGATATAATTTTTTTGGTCTTAACAGTTGTCATCTTTCTGGTCATCTGTCTCGTGATTGTCAAGCTCTGGCTCGTACAGCATCATCGTCGTGTCCCTTCTCCAAGCTGCTGTACATTATCTTACCACAAGAGTAATCTATCTTGACAGCTGTCTCGTCCAACTGTGCAACCTGAAACTTCAGCATTTTATTTTCAAATGAATATAAGTCAATACAGTTGTTCTGTTTTTGCTATCCATCAAAGTACATATTTATCTTGTTCATATTTATATCAAGAATAAAAAACAGTTTTCCAGTCTATGTGTGTATTATACTTTGATTGATAAATGCACGCGGCATGTGGAGAGAACGCGAGTGAAGCGAAGGAAGCCATGCCCACTATACGTATCACGTAAACGCTGGCCAAAAATGAGCGTAAACTGAGAGCTCAAGATCAATAGAATATCAAGAAAAAAATCCCTCTGACGTCTCACGTTTCAATGGCGGATCAAGGATTTTTCAAAGGGGGTTCCACTTTGTTTTCGTATTTTCCTAAAACGAACATTTTTACTGTGCCTCTCGAACTGTAGCAAATGTAAAGACACCCACATTTCATTTATCATTTTTTGTATGCTCGAGGGGGGACCCATGGAACCTGGATCCGCCACTGCATTTTACTTGGTGTATAACTTTCAAATCTGGGTTCGAACTCGCCACCATCTGTTGACCGAATGTAAGTTCTGTGAAGTATTTCCAAGAGTTTTTTAGCCCGGAATTTACCTGCTTTTTAAGCACTATAACTTTTCTATTATTTTTAATTCTAAAAGTATATAAAAGATGGGATAGGAAAAATGGCTTTTCACACGCAAAATTAGATTGAATATTGAATAAATATACATCGTAACTACATTTACGATTTTACTAAGATGAWTCACAAATCCGTATAATACGCATGTAAATGTCCCGAAAAAGCGTGTATAGCATTTGGCTGCTAAAACTACATGCATACACATTTAGACAAAAAGAGAAAAACATGAACTTTTATTCGATTTACATGCGCTTCAAAGTGAAATCTCTCTCAAAATAATTTACCTTTTTTATCTTACTTTCATCTTTTATTATTTTTATTTTCGAAGTATTATTTATATTATGTAAGTACAATCGTTAAAACTAAAGCATCCCAATTAATGAAAATCGTTACGATTCCGTCGTTCTTTTGCGCACACGAAACCGGAAATGATGTAGTTTTAAAAATTAGGCGTTTATCTCGCTTATACGATCAGGCTTGATCGCGTAATATTAAAAAAAAAAAACTTTCAAATCTCACTTTATTAGCACTGTTTTGATCTAGAAATTACACCAACGCATCATAATTTAGGTTGCCAAATAGAAACAATCTCGATGTTTGCTTATGTCTTACACTTAGCATACCAAATCTTGATGCTAATTTTAACGAGTTAGCACAGCTGACTCATAAAATGACAAATAATGCCAATTCAGGATTATTACCATAAAATATATAACAGTACTTCAGATGCAGAAAATAAATATGAAATATCGGATTCTATATATAGAAAGTTCTGTGGAGTATTTTCCAAGAGTCTTTTCGCCCGGAATAACTCGTAACTTTTCATTCTTTCTAGTTCTAAAAGTTAATTTGAACGAGTTAGCACAGCTACCGACTTTTGTGCTTTTGAAGCTAATTTTTTTATTTCGAAAATAGAATCAATATAAAGAGGAAAATAGCTCTGCACATTGCCACTGCATGCAGGCTTCAAATTTCAGAGAAAATTGGATTTAAAAAATCTATTATGTTGACTCATTGTTGATACAAAATTGTCCGATTGTTTATTTTAATTGGTCGACCTTATTGTTTTGTAGAAAATATTTTTTATGTTACCGAAAACAATCTTTCACAGTTTGATAGGGGTAAACTAGGAGCACTCATTGCAAAAAACAGTTTGAACTTGATCGATAGAGCACATCACAAGACGTCATCAAATTAGCATAATAGATTTTTAACTCTAATTTTGTCAATTTTCTCTGCCTGCATCGAGTGGCAATTAGCCAAGCTGCTATTCTTGTTCTATTGTCTCTATTATTCAAATAAAAAAAATCGCTTCATAACCACTTTAAAATGACAAATAATGCCAATTCAGGTTTATTCCCATAAAATATACTAGTGCAGGTACAGAAAATAAATATGAAATATCGGATTCTATATATAGATCCATATACAGGCGGTATATATTGTTACTATTGGTTAATTAAAACGATCCTGGCAATAGCRACTTTTCATCCAATCAAATTGAAGTATTKGAATAGATTCAAGAAGTASTGCWTGCACGGAACATACATCGGTCATATTTGGAGAATATCGCAAACTGAACAAACAAAACGACTTGAGTTGTCCATAAAATATTGTTTTTATACTTTCAGAAGTGAGTTTGGTGTAAARTGTCAGTTCTTTCTCTGTTATGACGAAGAAACACTGATTGTTACACAGTAATCGGCGTTTCTTTGTCAAAACCGTCACTGTTGTAATTTTACAATCGTTTTTTATTCCTTCAGAAGTAAGCTTGATATGAAAGCTAGCCTTTTCAGTTTGTTATGACACAAAATTTGAAATTCTATCTTTTTTCTGTTTCAACAGATGTCATCTTTACTAACATCTCTGATGAGCTTTCTGATCATCTGGTGTACTGTTCATGACTGTGAAGCTTCTGCCTTAAACAAGACCAAAGCTGTGATCCCTTCTTGGTCTTCAACAACTTCGCCGTCTCTTCACCCAGCCGTGTTTCCGTCTTCGTCTTCGTCTTCAGCAACTTCGCCATCTCTTCCCCGAGATTTCGTCCCATTAAACACAACTATTTATCCAACTTCGTCCTCTTCAAATGCAAGTACCATCAGTCCTGCCCTACAATGCCCGCAAGGATGTGTATGTTCAAGCTGCGAAATGTTCAACGTGAAAGGCTTCTCCATGGCTTGTCAACTTAAAGGGACAAGTTCAATTCTCAACACAAGTCAAAAAAGTCTTGAAGTTTGTGCTCTGTAAGTACTCAAAATTTAGGCGTATTTTTTAAATTATTCTTCTTTTTCAGTTCGTTGACACATTTACCGCACTGAATCGCTAGCTCGCATTTTTGTATTGGCTGAATTGCTTTTAACGCTTTGGAAGGATCGATGGAGTAAAGGTTTTATATAACCCATGTTTTTTTCGATGCTTTTGTGAAACTTCTATATATGTTCATTCATCCGAAATTTTTGGCGAGAATAGCTTGATTTTCTCTTTCKTTTTCGGGTGAATCTTGGGCATTTAATTGGCACACCAAGAATATATATTTTTGAAAAAAAGTGAGACATTTTTGAACCCTTAACAATTAAGCATTTAACTTTATGTCACCTTTCTTCCGCTAATTCATTATCTGCGGCGTAAGACTCTGATAAAGAAAACACAGAACTTTCAATAATGCTGAGAGAGGTTGMATTACTATCTTATTGAAAAATACATGATCACAAATAATAATAACTTGAATTTAAAAGGACATGGTCCACCAGCATTCAATGCGGTCGTGTTTTAAATTTTTCATATATGGAAAGTGAGATGGCTTCGGATATCCATTCACAATCCGTTTTCATCCATTGATTTTAAGGTCGAATCTTACAGTATCTCTATTCAAAAGCTCGAAAGGGATGCTGGTTGACCATATATATCACTTTAAATATTAACAATTACCAGTAAAAGTAAGTAAAAAAGATTTAATTTAATACTAGGGATCAGAAAGTCTTAGCARACAGTAAATGTGTACAAATCTGATCAAAAGGTTCAAACATATATTACAAGAAATTGGAAATTTAATTTGTAAAATAAATCAAATCAAGAAAAATTCGACTCAAGCGAAGAAAATTACCCATCATTTAATTGAGCTGAAAATGAAACAAAACCCAATTAGATAGAACTGACGATGATCTTTTTTCAAAGTAAATAGTTTATTTGAACAGTTCCGATAATAAAAACCCTTATCCTTCAAGCGTGCGACAGAAGCTGCCTGTTCAAGACAAAACTCTTATATTTTAAACTGGCACCTTGTTTGACTTGTTTTTTTTTTGACCTGGTGAAATATCCTAGAAAGTGGCATCACTAGCAAAACGGGATAAACGTAGGTCGATCAGGGAATAAGATATCGTTTCCTGTTAATTTTCTATTGTCAAGGATCATATCTWAAGACCATGAAAGAATAACATCATTACTTTGTTGCTATCCTGTCTGTGATAAAACCATCATTCTACTTTCGAATGTGATAACTTCCTACAAGTTTGTGAAAACTACTAGAGGGTATAAACTCCAGTGAAACACCTGCAAATCATTGAGAATGCTTTCTCCGTTTCCTACAATTTGTTATCGTTACAACGGAAACYATATCTATATTTCTTAATTAGAAATTTCAAAGATGACATTAGTGCTAATGGCACCTGGGGAGGATTCCACTGTGGAGTGATTTCTTAACAGGAAATTATAGTTTTTCATATTTGTTATTATATTTCAGGACATTGTCACGAAATAGGATCCCCGTGTTAACAAATGGAACATTCAAACACCTGTCTTCACTGAAAACACTGTATGTTTATTTATCATGATCGTTTCTGAGATAGAAAATCGTAAAGCATTGTGGTCTAACTTCAGTACTAACAACACCARATCGGGTGTAGGAACAAACTATGTTTTTACCAAATGTATAGAGTAGTTCTTCATATCTCTCAGAATGAATTCACTGATTGTCTGTACCGTTYTTACAAGGACAATCAATGGCACTTTTTGATTTTTGTTTTCTTCTTTGTTTTGATCAAAAAATTGGGTTACATCTTCCGAGAGGTGAAAGCCCACCCAATCTATAAACCGCAATGCAATGCGTTATTCAAGAAAAGGGCAACTATCAACATGTTCTTGTATTGCTTTTTAAATCTATTGACATTGTGTATGAATGATCATCTGGTATTTTGTTCTGCGGCAACAGGTATTTGGATCATAATGCGATCAGCGCCATTGAGCTTGGTGCGTTCACCGGACTCTCGAATCTGCTAACGCTGTAAGTGCTTGTTTTCTGTTTTTTTTTCCTGTTATTTCATTCATTTATTCCTTCCATTCTGCGGAGTGATGCCACAGGTATTGTAATTTCTGTGTATTGTATGCGAACACTAAGTTGTATCGAAAAGAGTTTAATAACTCTTTTAAATTTGTTTCTTTCAGGAATTTAGAYTATAACCGGCTATCGAAATTACGACAAAGAAGTTTCGCTGGTCTCTCATCCCTGAAATCATTGTAAGTAATAAGTTTGACCATTTGGTTTTCTAATCTATATTTTGAGCAACAGTTGGCATGCAAGCTAGATGAAACTGAATCGAGGGTGTTGCCTTTCCCTGGTACTCTAGCCTATTATTCGATCTCCGAGTAAAATCCAAGAAAAAAAATTCACTGCACTACATGCTCGAGAAAGTCCAAATACACTTCTATAAAACGGGTTTCTAAAATATCTGTCCATGAATGGAGCTTTCCGCTTACGAGAGTTTCCGCAAGCGGAAATTGGACTGTACATTGAATGATCTTCATCACCTTATGAATAGAAGCGTTTTCTCCACCACCTCAATGTAAAATGTTCTCCACCACTTTACTACAAATCCAAATGGTTTTCTTCACCTTATGAATAGAAGTGGTTTCTCCACCATCACAATTTAAAATGGATCTCCACCACTTAACTGCCAAAAAACCGAATGGTTAAAATGTTTGATTGTTTTGTTTACGTTTTCATTCTTTTAGGAGCATACGWTTCAACAAACTAAAATCATGGGGAGGCTTTCTATGGAAGGACGTCCCAAGCATCAAATATCTCAATCTTGAAGGTAATACMAAGTTTATCGTCAAAAAAAAGTTACTCCGCAAAACAACGATACAAAAGCTCGACCACATCTCAATAAGCAAGAAGTGTAGAAACTGCGTTCTGGGTCRAGTTAACGCCACCAAGGATCACCTGAAACCAGTCAGGAGGTGCCAGTATCTTCCTTCAGATTCCTACCACATAATGGAAGAAATGCTTCAAAGGTACATACGTTTCGAAGGTAATTGTTCTGGAAACACCAACTGTGACTATGTACTCACCAGTTTGACAAAGTATAAGAGGCAGTGGCGTGACAAGTGTTGGGAGGTCACGCTCAAGACCAGATACTTTGAATACTTCCTGGGAATAGTTGCTATGGCAGCCAACTTCATAGTTGTATTGGTGTCARTGTTTTCGAAGTCTTTAAGACAAAGCGCGGCGTTTTGTCTTGTGGGTCACATGGCTTTTTGTGATACYTTCATGGGTGTGTACTCAGTAGGGATCGCACATGGTCATCGGTTGGCACACAACGTGWTGTTGTTTCGTCGATGGCGCTGGCTCGTCTGCCCTTACTGGAGAACCATATTCATGGGTGGTCAAATTATGAGCGTACTAACGTGCCTTTTGGTGACTTTGGAAAGATACCTGTCAATCRTCTTCTGTATGAAGCCGTTTATTCGTTTAAAGAGACTACCRGCGKCTTGCTTAGTGCTGGKTTTCTGGATAATGGCTGCCATCGTCTGCTACTTGATTCAAGTTATCGATAGAGTTARCATTACAGATAACTATATGTGCTTGCTCATCCGGGACTTCGATGCTTCTGGCTCGTTTAATGTCAGCCAAATTGTAATACTGATGTCTGTAACGATTTACATAACGATTGCATTGCTGTATATACACATATATACCTTCGTGAAAAAATCCAGAAGAAACACTGGTGTGAARCGTGAAAGCCAGCTTGCATCAAGAATTGGACTAGTTATTCTRTCAAATACAGTTTTCTTTGTGGTTCCCAATGTGACTATTATCATCGTCACTTCTGGTAGTCTGTATTTCGATATCAGTGATGAGGCTAACAGTACGTTTCGYCGTTGGTTCCCTCCAATGTGTCTCGTCTTCAATGCTTGTATTAATCCCTTCCTCTTTGCGTTCCGAAATGACAAATTCCAAGCGGCATTGAAAGCTTTATTCAAGGGTTACTTCAGACGAGTAAGTGTATTACTTCAATGACACTTATTTTTACCTTTGCAAAACATTTCAAAATGGTTTTAGAGTTTGCACTCTAATGACTGCATTTGGCAAAATGAAGGCCCACTTGAATCGTCTGTTTTGATTTAAAAGAAGATCTTTGTAATATATAAAATTGTAGCGGTACGCGCGAATATCTTATATTGCTTATCAAATTCCAGCATCAACTGAAGGATATTTTTTCAAAAAAACTTCAAAATATCATTTTTAAGAGAAAATCGAAGTTAAAAGCGTATGCAAATCAGGAAAATCTCTTGCTCATATAAAGATGGGGTCACGGCAACGATTTTCCATTGTGTTTACCTTATGGATTATTAATGAATTTGATTATTGTTGTGGAAAGCTGCTTTCTCATTGGTTAAAAATCAGAGATGGCGATTTTTCATGTGTGAGAGAAAGGTGGAAGTGGACTTAAGGAGCAAAATACTAAGTCATTTGTGCGTTACTCTTTCAGGTTCGCCATAGCTTGAGAGGCCGAGCAGGTCTAATCATAATGCCTGCAAATATTGATCAGCCTGGTCGTTCTAGAACAGACACTGCCCATACATCAACGCTGACATTGGCTGAAGTAGGTTTTGAGATGGCGAGCAGTCGTACTGGATCCATTTGTACCAAGGAAGGCGAACATAMTGCTGCTTTTAAAAACCCTATTTATGATAGTGGAACTGTTAATATTAGCTTAAAGGAACGTTAAGAGAACGCTTCAACGCAGAAGAACGCAGAAGAGCCTCAGATCTATGTTATATCTCTTGTTTGCCTCATTTTCCACAGTGTGCGACCCCCTAGTCCAACCTTAAAAAACATCCACATTACTCAGCGAAAGCTTTGATTTCTCTTAGCTATAATATAGAGATTCCCTAAAAGAAAGACAAGTGAAATTTGTCTTTTTAACAAAGCTTCCTGAGACGATATAAGCAATTCATTCCCTGCTCGCAAAATGCTGGTATACCCACTCAGCTTGAGACAATATACTTTGTATATAGTGAATGTAAATAGAGTGAAATCATTAAAACGACTCTTTAACATGACTTGATTACTATATTTTAATTTTATAATCCATTTTTGATTTATTCCAACAACAATAGAAATACGTAGTAATAGGATAGAATAGTAGTATGAAGATTTGTTGGTTGTGGGCCATGTGATAAAGATGAATAAAAGTATCAAAAAMTAAAATAAAAGATAAAAAGAATAAAATATTATTGGGAACTACTCAACTTTTTCATGGGGTGATTTGGATCATAAACAATTTTTTTCTAGGTATTTTCGAATGAAACAAACTGCTTCCTCCCTCCACAAGACTAACTCTAATATTCCATGCATCTCTTTTTGTTCAGCGACGGTGTTTTTAAAAGGAGAGTCCATCCATTGCTTTTGCTACAACTTATGCGACACTTCCGTCAACACTGCGACACCTTTTCACTTGCCTACTTAAATATATCAATGTAGAGTGCCTTGTCATAAATTGGATATGCGCAGCCAAGAACTTTTAAAAAGCACCTATATGACTACTTCACCTAACACTCGCTGCAATAAGAGCAATAATGTACATTTACTAAATACCGTCCTTCTCTTYATACTTATTAATTTGTCTCTTTCTCTATCAAATGTTACTGGGGTCAGAAATTTCGTAAACTGAGCAGTCATGAATAATACGAATGCTTCCATGACCGYATTAAGCGATACCATGCTAGTAGTGTGGTGTGTACTATATGGCATCGAATCGTTCMTKATTATCACTGCCAACATTRTGGCAATTACCATTTTTATGAAGAAGAAGTTTCTCATCTCCAAATCGTGCTACTTAATCATCAATCTGACTGTCGCTGATGTTCTTGTTGGTGTGTCCGCCTTTGTTACAATGATGGAGATTTTGTACGCCAAAGACAACATTTTCAATAGTTGCAAAGGCAACCTTTTGAACGAATTCTCTTTGAATTTTTCATTATTTACTCTTTTAGCTTCATTGACTACTTTGGCGATGATGGCGTTTGAAAGGGCCTTTGCAATTTTGTTGCCACTACGATTTCGCCGTGTKCAAAGCAAGCACTATTACAAGTCRYTATCACTCTCTTGGGGCGTATCCATAGTGATACTCTTWAAAACATTTTCTTGCTCCAGTGCGATWGCACATAACAGCATTGAGTTGTTCTTTGACTTGGTCTCCTTTATGTCCTTCCTGGTCATCAGTGTATCCTACGCCGCAATAGCAATAAAGAAACTTTTCTTTCCTGGTATAAACTCAAGCACTTCAATGAAAAACAACTATAAACTATCCAAGACATTAYTATGGACAACTATTGTAGCATTTTTGACCTGGATACCATCCTATGTGATTTTAGGTATTAAAGCGAAAAAGTATACTGTAGTGGTGGTTGATAATACAGATATGGCGCTTGCAATGCTGGTATACWCAAACTCGCTGGCAAATCTYTTTGTTTACACAATTCGCATGCCACAGTTTCGGCGCATCTTGCTRAGAATGATGGGATGTRGACATGAAAATTCGGTGAATGATGTTRAGAGGTTTGAAAGAAACAGATCCAATCTACAAGGTAGAGCTCAGTAGCTACAAGTAGAGATATACKTTTCTGTTATGGAAATGTAGTTGCATCCAAAGGTGCACTTATATAGAACTTCTCGTTGAATAGCTTAGTGTSGTTTTTGCTACAGTACAACACGCGTTTTTTCTTTTAAAGTACTAATGAGGAATATCATAAATGCATAGTGTCAAAATTAACTGTAAGGTTTTTGAGTTTATTAAACTGTTAACAGCTTGCGTTTCCGACACTAGCGGACTGTAAATATGATTCTGTCCATTATCATATAATAAGCTGTATGTTTCAATTCGAAATTGAAATTAAAAGGATCTCAGCAAAAAAGTCAATTTTTTATTCCTTGTTTTAACATGTTAGCTAATGAGGTGTTAAACACCATTCTGAAAAAGAACTAGCCTTTGAAAGACAAATTCCTGTTTTCCCGAGGTGCATGATGCTTAAAGTCTATYACAAAAGCCATTTAATGCAAAGAGAAGTACTTCAAACCGTTTAAAATTTAAAGAAGAAAAGCTTCCTCTCAGATCTATCACTTTAAWAAGAACAAAACACCATCCGAGAGATAGATGTTGGTACTAAGAGTCACTTAAAGGGCTACTTGGACGAAAATTGCGAAACATTAACAAAAACTTGGTAATCAAATAGAACTATCCATATGGGTCTAATAATCATGAAGCAACAGATTTCAAGAAGATATTGATACAAATCCTTGATAATTTGGGCAAAAAATGTTGGAGTAGATGACGTCATTTACTCCATCCTTTTGTTCTTCCATCTTTTGAATCAAAATTTCTCTGATGTGGGAYAATTCCAAGACAAATATTTTCCCGCAATTGTTTTTAATGGATGTAAATGAGTCATATATTCATATTGCTTGAAGTTTTGAAATAAGGGCATTTTCGTGCAAGTAGCACTTTAATTAAATAGGAGTCGACGGGTTCTTAGTAAAAATATATCTGTTCTTATGTTCCAGCCAGCTGTAAGTCACAACTGGTTGCCAGTGAGAAATTCAGGAAAAATAACTATCCAGAAAAGGAATATTTTCTAAGAATTTYTGCCAGCAAAATAAAAATTTCCTAACTAAAAAAATATATGCCGTTTTTGACCTTAAAAACGTTACATAAGCCTTTTTTGACCTTAATAAAAACGTTTGGCAGGAACAAAATTATTTTAAAGAAGGGAGGGCGCCACATTTACTTGTGAGATTGTCAACGATGTACCTCAAAATCCCTTTTCCAGGAAAAAATTCGTACAAGACCAGTTATTTAGAAGAACAGACCCCGTCGGCTGGTCCTGCTTTTAAATGTCACAGTGACTTAGAGGCACTTGGAATTTAGAGTACAAACACTAAAAGTGTGCAACACTTTGCCCTATTTACTACAAAATAATGCTAATTAAACATTAGAAAACAATAGAATTAGCATAAATTAGCAGTATTTAGTGCTATTTATGTTGCACAGTTTTAGTGTTCTCTATCATTATTGACAAAAATAATAATTATCATTATCTTGATCATTATCATTATCATTATATTATGTATGTGAATGTGGCTGTAGATAATGTATGTGAATGTGGCTGYATCGTAGCATTCCGRATACTAAGACAAACTCCATTAATACTGATTCTCTCGGTTCCCCGGAGCTTTCTAATCAGTTTTTTGTGATATTGATCATTTCTCTAAATCTCTTGCAGGTTCTTGCAGGCAGTAGTAGTCTTTGCMCAAATAAAATGAAATGGTATGACACTTCGGCATGGCATTTTGGAAGTTTTAATTAAGAAATATAAAACGGCGCACGTGTCTCTGTCCTCTGATATAAACACGGTGGGAGTTCGAAAAACACGAGTGAAGCAAGCTTAGGAATACGAGCGTAGCGAGTGTTTCTCTTGCTTCTCGAGTGTTTTTCAACTCCCACCGTGTTTATATCAGCAGACAGAGACACAATATTTCTTTTATAAAATTTTTCGAGCGAAAAGAAAATTTTGCCGATGGCGGTAAGCCGTGTCTCTGTCCTCTGATATAAACACGGTCGTCAGCCAATCAGAGCGCGCGTTACATATCAAAAATTTTATAATATTACATTTTCTGCTAACTGTTATAATTTGACTGTCACAAAAACCGCATTTACCTTTAAAACCAAATCCTTTTAGGATTTAGCGATATCTATATTTAGAAGTGCAATGAAGCAAGAGCTAAGTGATAATAATTTTGCCGTATAATATGAAAAGAAACAGTATGGTGCAAATGAATTTATGAAATGTTATCATTTTGCAGTGAATTTACCCCAACACTAATTCATCGTATCTCCACTTAGTTTTGATTGTCTTAATAGAGCAAAGTGGTATATATTTTAATAATAATAAAAAAAGTGTGAATATTAATAGTGAAATAGTAGTTTAAAAATTTCTTGCTGATCATCAAAACTAGAATTTTTTTATCCATGCAAGATTTGATGCTCATTTCAGTTCTTTGTTTCATGACTGATGCCATATGCCATACCTTGATAATGTTTATTTTGCCTCTTTGTTTATCCTATAAATGAGGATTTACAATGTTATAGCGCAAACTCAAGGGTTCTAAAGCTGCAACCAGACGAACTCACTTGTCTAAATTGAAAATTTCTGCTAGTGATATGTTTTGAAACCTCATACAGGGGTCATGCTGTCCTAGTTATTAAACTGAATTTGCATCAGATTCTGGATAAATTCTGACATAAATCATATAGCTGGAGCAATAATAAAGTAGTCCATTCGACAAATCAAGAAAGTTTAAATAGAAACCGCAGCTAGTTGTTTTAAACTGTTTTGAGTCCCGTCTGGAAAACGGTATCATTATAAGGAGTACATGTAGTTCCCGATGGTACGTATTTCCTCCTGAGCGGTGTTACCGACTATTCCGACTCAAAACCTAATTAATGCAGGCCTACAAAATGCTAATAATCAATATGTCAGTCAATCAATGTTATCCAATGTTTTTAAGACCACCAAATTCACTGCCCTAGAGTATGAATCGATGCCTGACTAGTGGCGTTCATAGTTGTTTGATGTCGCGAACACACGAGCCACACACGCGTGAAGATTTCCCTAAAGGCACTTCGATATTTTTCACAAAAGATATAGTAAATGATCAAATTGAAAAATCCATTGAGATAGGAGATCGCGTACGCGATAGGATTTATAATTCCTAAAACTAAAGCAGTTYGATTGGAAAGGGTGATTTGATTTACGACAAATACAGGCATCCATGTTAAATGAAACGCCAAAACAACTGATATGACCATGTATGTTACTTTCTTAGATGTCCTCACACTTGCAGCTCTTTGYGCTTGTGGCTCCTCTTCTCCGGGCACGTTTCTTGTCCAAAGCTTATATCCAATCAGAAAGCACAAARTKATGACRACAGCAAGCGGAATCAGGTACCCAACGACTGTYAACACCAGRAYGGGAAATGATTCTTTGCGTATGCAGTAGGAGTTKCCATTTGGAAGATTAATCAACGAACCGCCAAAGAATACCATCACAGATGACAGTCCCAATGAAAGTCCCCAGGTTACAGGCATAAKATATTTACACGATGGTCTAGAGGTTTTGTACTTCAAAGGGTAACTCACGGCCATAAATCGATCAAAGGTGATAACGACCAGGCTGAATATCGAAGATAATACCATTGTATATTTCAAAAAGATATTTCCAGTACACGTGGCTCGGCCGAAACCTCCGGGTAACCACAGGWGCCACTTGAGGGTGTAGTGGACAAGAACTGGACTRCTGGTCAGAGAATATAATAGGTCTAATACCGCCATGTTGACGATGAAATAGTTGATGGTTGTGTGCATATATCGGTTGACTCGAACACTGTGGATGATGACGCTGTTGCACACAATTGAACACAAAGTCACAATAGATGTAAAGCAAATTAAAGCTGCTTTGGTCCGGCTGTCTACGTCGTTGGCTTGCAATAAGTACTGGAAACCTTAAAAAAATGTAATTTTGGCCCCAAAAATTCTTAAAAGCGCTTCTTTCCTTACCCATTTTACAAAGAACTGGTATTCACAGATTTCTTACCTTCAAGCGCCGTGGTATCATTACGCAGGCTGGAGGACTGCAAGTTTCTTGATGAAGTTTTTGAGTGTGGAATTAAAAAAGAAACTACTGTTATAAAGGAAATCCTTATTCTGCAAGACTGCATCTCAAATTAAAAAAAAAAAAGAAAACTGAACTCTTGGTGGCGATGTAGTGTTTTAATTATTTGCCCAAATTAAACAAGATGTTAATATCTCTGATAAACATCAGTTTCGATATTAAATTTTATCGCCACCAGCCTTCTGAAGTTTGATTGATTCTGTTTGTTTTTAGAGCGTTATCATGAATTTGAGGTGTAAAAGAAGAATGACAGCTGTACTGTAATTAGGAGCCAATTTTTTTTCTTTTTCTCATGGGACTGTGTTAATAATTTAAAAATTTCAGACTGGATCTACATGCATCTATACATCTTTAAAAGACAATTTTTTCTTGGATTTAGTTTGASCTATTGTTTACACTAGACTAGCGAGCATGAACTACATGTATGTATCTGGACATTCTTTTGGAYTTGAAGACTAAGATCGTCTTGGTGCAAGTACACATTCCGTGATAAAGAATATCTCCCCCACACAGGCACATTCATCAAAACCGTGACAACTCACATATTTCACCCACGGATAGATTTGATCTTTCTGATGAAATTCCCGATGATCATGACGGTTCACTGTTTAATTAAAGTTACTGATCCCACCTGTAACTAGGTTAGAACGCATAMAAATTTGAATGATCCCACCGAATATCTGTCTCAAATCGATCAAGACGACAGTTGATGAGAAGTGCTGAAGTTTGGAMCGAATCACTCTATGACATGATGAGAATCCAAGGAAAAGAGGGGAAAAAGGGGGGAATGGAGTCAAACGTACAAAATWATAATATAAAAAAACAAAAGCTAATCAAAAACAAAAGAATGGATGACGGTAATCATTCTTCGTTGACTTCTTCATTCATTTTTAATCCCTAAATCTAATATTTTTGAATTTATGGTCATGTAGGAGTGTGAACGAAGTGGTTGCCTAGGAAAAATGAAATGTTTCAAGATTATTTTGTCTTTTAAATATCACATTGGATTTTTGGTTTTCACTATGGAGAGAAGCAGGTGTAACGGCATAAAATTTRATTAATTCTCTTTTTATTAATAATAAAAACTACCATTCAAACGTCTAAACTATGACCTATTGCTTACATAATAACCCGTCTAAATGTTTGTTTTGCGTCTGTTAATTTTAATCAATAAGTATTGCACAATGTCGCAGCGCAGACTCAAAGATTCTAGAACTTCCACTGGAAAAAATCGCGCGCTTGAAAGGTTGTAAATGTGCTGTAAATATGATGTAAGTGTCCAAAATTCTGTAAATTTGATGTAAATGATTTCCATTAAATTTACAGAATTTTGGACACTTACATTATATTTACATCAAATTTACAACCTTTAAAACGCGCGATTTTTTCCAGTTTTCTGGCAGACGGACTCTAGATGTGGACATCTTAAAAACTGAATTTGCCGAGTTTAAACGGTAGCACGAACCCTAGACACCCAAGTAGAAATATGACAGCACTATGAAAACCTTTATACATTCCCATATGATTAAAATTACCACGATCTTATGAAAACTGAAGTTTTGGTCTGWTTCACCTTCACAGTTGTTCGCACAACATCTCTCTGTATGCTTCTTTTTCAGAATTATCAGTTTAATTAATATTAATCCGCGTTCTCAATGCCACCGTATTCACTAAACTATCTACCGGCAATTTGTACCGGTATTGCCACCTCTAAAACCATTTTTGTCAGTGGACGTGGTGTGTGCTCGTCGCGGGAACATCGATATTATACTACCAAACAAACCTTTTAATGCACTACGGTAATTTTCACTAAAAATATAGTAGATGGCCAAGTTAAATAAGCCGTTGAGATATGTGAATGAGATTGTAATGGGCCACAGAGCCCCAATAACAAAAACACCTCTGGGAAATAAAAAATGTAAGAGAAAACTAGTGATAAAAACTGGAGCCCATGCAACAATAAAAGCCTAAACAACTGATATTATGTAAATTAATAAAGTAAAATAATTGATTTATATAAATTTAGCGTCAATTTTAAATTTGTATATATACTTAATGTAAACCTTTGGATGTGTTTAACGGTCATTTACTGGTTTCACCTGATTAGAGGGTCTCAATGGGGTTAACGGTGAGTCGTGAAACGGCTAAAAAATTAGCCGTGACTCGTAAAAATGAGAAAAAATAGCCGTGAAACGGCCGAAAAATTAGCCGTGACTCGTAAAAATGAGAAAAAATAGCCGTGAAACGGCTGAAAAATTAGCCGTGAGTCGTGAAAATGAGAAAAAAATTAGCCGTGAGGCGTGAAAAAGTCCAATTTTTAGCCGTGAGTCGTGATACGGACCCCCCCATTGAGACCCTCTGATTAGCGTSGTCATCTGGACAATACAACAATATTGTAGCGAAAATTACATAATGGAAATGCAGTAGTTTGTTCTGTAATATATACAGCATTATGTTTGTTTTTTGATGTATATGTAAATATGTATACATTATAGTTTGAGTGTTATATKGGTAAAAGTAGGTTAATATCACACTAGTTTAACAGGCTTGAGAACAGTCAATCAGTTAYGTTGTCCAGGAAGGATTTTGTTTTAATGTTGAGAAAAGAAAAGAAAAATAATAAAGTAGTGATGGATTTATGAGGGTTTTTTTTGGCAGAAGTCACACTTCAACGTACAAACATGATTTGAATGCTTSGACATTGTGTATAGTATCCTAGAAACAGAAAACAAGATTAGATTAATTTCTACWGTTCACTTGAATAACTGGAATCCAAAAAACGAAGAAGCAAAATAACAATCTAGAAATATAGGTAAGGTGTTGATCCTGACATTATGTTTTAGACATGCAGTCTTTTGACACAGCAKAAAATATATTACTAAGTAATTATTGTCAAATATTAGGCGCCAAACAATAAATACTGTAGTGTCAGGGACGTCGTAGCGTTTTTTAAGCGAGGGCTGTRCTTACTGATACTACTCTATAAAGAGTTCAAACACCAAACTGTGCAACATAAATTCCACTAAATACTGCAATGGAAAATTTCTTCCAAGGTTCTCTATATCCATTAGGTTCATAATTGTGGGGGCTTATACTGTATTGTATGAACTGTAACTGTATAGATCTGTGTGTTTTGTTATGGAAGGTCCGCATGATTGAGCTTCGGGGGTAGAAGGGGAATATTGAATATCGTACGATATTCACGTCGATAAAATGAATAATGATTGTCCTAAGTATCAACGAAAAACTAACTTAATCCGATGAATATTKATGAGGTGAATAGGTTTACATAAGACTCACAGCTCTCTCATTATCGAATTCGGCAACTTTTCGGAATAACATTCATTCMGGARCTTTTTKCAGAGTAAAAGGAGATGACGTAAAAGACCGAAAACAAAAATATGCTGGTGCTTGTCGTCAAATTTAATTGTCTTAAACAGTTATTTTTTGTTTTTAAGTGCAGTGTCTTTCAAGTCTATGAATTATTTTGGRTCTCGTTTATGGGAACGTTTTGGTTCAATGGGGAAGTGAACGTGCACCCTGTGCCCTCCCCCCTGTTTACCGCCCTGGAAGAAAGGTCTTTCAAACCTGTCATATACATTCATGGAATCTGTATTTTTATTGTAGGAAAACGATGAGATTCGGTGGACGACAGTTTCCCCTCAAAACTGTTCTCGCATTGATTGGAATCGCAGGTTTCCTCGTGTTGTTGCAGCTTTCAAGGAAAGCCATCTTTCTAAAATATCTCCCAACTCAGTTTCCAGATGTATCAGGTACGTTCGTGTACTTAAATGCCGTTTGTGAGTGGAATTGGTTTAAGCAATTTGTGAGTGATAGAGAAAGCCAAACCTTGAACTTATGCTTACAAATTATTTGTATTAAAGTGCTTTTATTTATATTAATGCGSTACCATAGAAACATTATGTTGTAGTATGAAAAGATAATTGAAATCAACATGTAAATCTTAGCAAGCTCTTGCAAACCAAAGCGTCTCCACGATGACATTTCCAAACTGTACAGAATGTACGATGACGTCAAGGCCTTTGTTATGTTTATTGGTTGTTCAAAAACGCAAGAGGGTCTTCTAGGGGCAATATTAGATGCACACCCAGAAATATTGCTTTCACGAGATTATGACACTATTGGTAGGTGGGATAGTATACATACTTTACTTCCAAACAACTAAATAATCAAATGCAATAACAGTAGTTTAGGTCCCTACTTGGGCTTCAATAATTAATAATATCCTAATAATAATAATGTTAATATATTCTGCATTCCAGTTGAAGGCTTCAATTATTAATAATATTCTAATTCTAATTTATAATGTTTATATATGCTGGAATGTTTATGTGAATATATTTGGAATGATTTATTGTTCTTTTGAAATCAGTTTTCATTTCTTTTTTTTTTTGAAATTTGAAAGCAATTTTTTGGTTGAAACGTTTTTTTTGAGCAGTTTCATGTCTGGATGATTTGCGCAATACTGTCTCACAAAGGAGGATTAGTTTGGGGGATTTGAAAACAAAACACTTAAAGTCAAGTGTATTCAATTGTTTATTTGAACTTCATTGACAATGTACAAATTTGACAATTTTAGATTCACAGAATGTTTATTGTGGATTATTATTTGACAATTTTAGATTCACAGAATGTTTGTTTTGGTTTATTTAAAGTTTTCTTTTGAGTTCACTTGGTTTGCATGCACTTGAACCACTCTATCAAACAATTTTTACGTTTGTGATAGATAATGTCACACCACGTTTGATAATCAAATTGGAAGAATGTTTGAAGCTTGTTGTAGCTTTTTAGAATATACCAAATGATAAATTTGATGGTCCTTCCGTTTGCATTGGCGTGGGGGTGAATCTCGAGGAATTCAATGACGAATTCAGCCAAAGCCTCTAGAACAAGGTTTTGAAGGCAGCTCTTGCGATTGAATTGATCGATGATGTTTTGCATTGCGGATTGAATTTCTGCTGGATCACAGTAAACCTTTTCATGTCCTTTGTAAGTGGTCATTCTTTTCTTTTTGCAATAACCGTCATTTTTAGTGTGGAGAAGTTTGTTGTTGAGAGTGATGATAATGTCATGAGTTAGAAGTCCAGCCTTGGGATCACGTAAGAGTTCGATGAGATATTGCTTGGCATTTTTGGCGCCTTGTAACGAATGGACGTCATCGTGTTCTTCGCTTTTGAAGACAACTCTTGCGATTGAATCTATCGATGATTGTTTGCATTTTGGCTTCAATGTCTGTTGGAGGACAATAGACTTTTAGGTGACCCATGTACGTTGTGAATCGTTCGTTTAGGCAATAATCGTTATTTTTGGTTCCCAGCAGTTTGTTGTTGACGGTTATTATGATTTCTTGATCTAAAAGACCCGCATGGGGGTCGTTCAAGAGTTCCTTGAGGTATTGTTTTGCGTTTTTGGCGCCTTGCAATGATTGTTCGTCATTGTGTTCTTCGCTTCGCACTATTTCAAATTCCATGTTGGGTTCCTTTGAGGGCGTTGCTGGACGGTTGATGTGACTGGTTT